CCCAATCCAGAACAGCGAATTCAGCATCGCATCATCCAATGCCGTCCTCATGGCTAGCCTGCAGATTTCCTGAGCTCACTCCACGAACGGGAGATCCTTCCGGGCTAGGGCAGAGAATCGTGTGCCGATCTCCATTATCGCCGGGGGACGGAAAACAAAACACTTTCAAAAAGGAAACCAAAACGAGGAGAAGGGGCGCTGCTAACTGTTTTCGGTCCAGTCTTCTGTCACGGTGTGCCTACTGTGTCGGAGCGAGGAGACGAAGGAGCACGGAGACAGAGGGAATCCAGAAGCACAATACACTTGATTTCTCAAGGAACAAGGAGCACACACGTAGTACACGGAGTAGACATTTAAGACTGAACGCAGGACTCAGGAAACACAAGGCTTAAGTACAGGAACTAAACGAGACAAACCTGGAATCAATTAACATGGAAAAAACTGGGTAATGGAAGGCACATGGGGAGAGAAACACAAGACACAGGACTGACAGAGTCCTTATGGTGTTCACAGTATAGTGGACTCAAAAGAGAGCACAGTCCTTTTCTTGGTCTTCTTCAGCACTGAAGTGATCTAAGGCTCTTTCTTGTTCACACCACAACTTCACAAGAACTCAGACCCCAGCTTTCTGTGCAGCAGTGGAACGATGGAGTCTGACCTATTGGAAAATTTGGAAGATGAAGTGGACAGGGAAGGGGATGAGGAAGAGCTTTATCCAGAGCTTTAACAACACATTTCAGTTAAATTTAAAATTAAAATAAAATTAAAATTTCAGTCAAATTTAAAATTAAACACATTATCTGTAAAGTTAATTAAACTTCCTTTTTTCTCAGATAAGATAGTATTCAAATGATGTCAACGCTACCTTGTAAATTGTACTAATATAATGGCTTCGATACTGAATCGCTACATTATGGGGGTAAAATCACTGAAGCTGTCAGTTTAGTTACTTCAAAAACACTGTTTGCAGAGTGCAATTCACACACACACACACACACAACTTTCATCTCTCTCTCTCTCTCTCGTTAATTATTTCAAAACAATGCTATAATTCATGCATTCAAATAAATGTGGTCTTACAGCACTACTTCATCTCTGTGTCTGATTTAAAGTGGGCAGAATGCTAGATCTCCACTGCACGTTGGGTGGGTTGTTGCCTCCATGTCATGCATTAAAATTATTTAATGCACAGCTAGCTGTAGATTACATAAATGTAAAGAACAACTATCGTCATATCATATATACAAAAATAATTTATTTACCAAAAAAATGTAGATACACAACACAGTATTTCTGAATTAATTAAATAATAATAAAATATTTTTCTTTTATAAAATCAGTTAATTAGAGATGATTTTGATTATTACAATTTAATGAAACCATTCAAATGGAATCCAGAAAATGAATGGAAAACACAGAATTTGGTAAAAATGAAACCTATTTTTATTTTTGTTAAACTTTTAATAAATTGCTGTTAAATTGTGTAAGTTTCATTATTTCAATTAATTAGACATGTTTTTTTTTTTTTTTTGGCTGACTTTCATGATCTGAGATCGGATTATATGATTGCTGCAGGTGATTTTAACTGTATGTTAAATCCTCTCATTGATCGATTTCCCCATAAAATAGTGGCTCCATCTAAGCTAGCTAAACAAATTAATGGCATCTGTGAGGACCTAGAATTTATAGATGTTTGGAGAGCTCTACACCCATCTGGTAAAGAATACAGTTTTTTCTCCCCACCACATCAATGTTATACAAGGATTGATAATTTTTTTATGCCTAAGTGTTCAGTGCATTTAGCCGTCGCATGTTGTACTAACAATATTGTAATCTCAGATCATGCTAAGGTTGTGAATTCTATAAGGAATGGCACACTTTGTTACTTGAACCCATGCTTAATATGTTTAACCATTCATTTAACATTGGGCAGCTCCCTGAATCTCTGAGAGAAGCTAATATTTCTCTTATACTGAAAAAAGGTAAATCTCCTGAAGCCTGCTCTTCATATAGACCCATATCTTTATTAAATACGGATAGGAAGCTGTTAGCCAAAATCCTGGCTTCTCGTTTGGAGAATGTAATAACAGATGTTATCAAAGATGACCAAGTAGGTTTTATAAGAGGCCGCTCATCTTGCAATAATATGAGACGTCTTCTTAATGTTATACAAGTCTTTAAGCAGTGTGAGATTGATGGGTTAGTACTTTCTCTCGATGCAGAGAAAGCGTTTGACCGCATTGAGTGGTCATATTTATTTTTTGTTTTAGAGAAATGTAATTTTGGTGACACTTTTATCAGATGGGTTAGAGTGAAGAACCTAAAGCTTATGTTCTTACTAATGGTTCTAGGTCAGCAAGTTTTTCATTACATAGAGGGACTAGGCAGGGGTGCCTATTGTCACCCTTGCTTTTTTGCGCTCGCTATTGAACCCCTAGCTGAAGTGATCAGAGCAGAGCCTTCAATTGAAGGTCTACAGACTGACAAAAAACATCATAAATTAGCCCTTTATGCAGACGATGTGCTCATTTTCATTTCAAATCCTGATTCTTCAGTACCATCTCTTCTAAACATTATAAATACTTTCAGTACTTTCTCAGGATACAAAATCAACTTAACAAAGTCAGAGGCTATGCCTGTTGGTTCTATGAAAACAATTCCAAATATTAGCCCCTCATTTCCATTTAAGTGGTCCCCTGGAGGATTTATATACTTGGGTATTTTTGTGAGCCCTGTATTTAAAAATGTATTCAAAGACAATTTTACCCAGTTACTTAGTAAAATTAGAGAAGATTTAAACCGATGGGACACTCTACCTATTTCGTGGCTAGGTAGGGTGGCTCTTATAAAAATTACTGTCCTACCCAAGCTTCTGTACCCAATCCAAATGATCCCTATTCTGTTCTCTAAAAAGGTTTTAAAGGATGTGAATGGCTGGCTTAGCTCCTTTATTTGGAGCAAGCGCAAACCAAGGTTGAGGTTTTCTGCACTACATTTACCAGGTTCGAATGGAGGGCTGGACTTACCTAATATTAAGCTATATCAATGGTCTGCTCATCTAAGATACATTTCTGATTGGGTTGTTCTCGATAACTCCTCTACTTGGTTGGACCTTGAACAGACATTGCCAAAACTTCCCCTTGTGGATCTGTTGTTTCTCAAAAAAATTTAATCCTTATTGGATAATTGTGATAACCCTGTAACTGTAAATGCACTTAAGGCATGGAGGGCTGTTTGTCGTTTCAAGGTAGAACTAAACTAACCTCTGTTCTTACACCAATTGTGAATAACCCAGACTTCTCTCCAAGCAGATTTGATGGGAGGTTTAAATTTTGGGCAAATCAAGGTATTAACCGGCTTATGGATGTTTGATGAAGAAGGCCTAATGTCCTTTGAGGATCTGAGACAGAAATATAAATTAAAACAGGACTTTTTTCGTTTTTTACAGATTAGAAATTATATTTTGAAGTATACCTCGTTATGTACTAATAGAAGTCTGTCTCCTATAGAAAAACTACTTTTTCAAACACCTGCAAAGAGGTCAGTGAGTTTGTTAAATAAGGTTCTTGGTGCTACATTTGAGGGACAAGCAGTTTTGAATACTAGACTTGCTTGGGAGAGGGAACTTTCTACTTCTATTAGTGAGGAAGAATGGGGTGATATTTGGAAATATGCCAAATCCATTTCAGTATGTAACCGTGCCAAGGCGATACAATTTAAAATTCTACACAATGCATATTTCACCAAACTGTAGACATGCATTTAACAATACCCTTTCACCTTTATGCCTCAAGTGCAAAACACAAGTTGGTACTCTCACTCACTGTCTTTGGTCATGTAATCAGCTACAAATATACTGGGCCAGGATTGTATCTGAAATGAGTAATATTTTTGATAAGGAGTTGGTTATGGATCCTCTATTGTTGATCCTTGGTTTGCCGGATAAAGCTTTGATTTTATCAAATGAAAAAAGACTTTACAATCTTCTCACATTTGCAGCCAGGAAAAATATATTAATGAGATGGATAAGTGATAAGACTCCGACTATATCTGGATGGCACAAGATTTTAATGGAACTAATCCCATTGGAATATTTAACGTGTTTAGTTAATGGTCAGCCGGGTCAGTTTTATAATGTCTGGAAGCCTTATATCAATAATCTAGGGATTGATTGTCAACTATCCTGTTGAAGAGTTTTCCTATTCATTTACCCCAAGTGAGTGCATAAGATTTTGAACTTGTATTGTACTACCAATATGTATTTAGTGTGGTTATCCATTTAATTTGAGTATCTAATTTTTCTTTTCCTTTTTAGTGGCCTAGGATAAGTCTGCTTATTCTTATTTTGCCGACTCACCCATTTTTTTTTTTTTTGATGCATTTATTATTATTATTTTTTTGTTATTATTATTATGATTATGGTTTATATTCATGTGTGTTTTGTTTAAGTTGGAAAATGTTCAATAAAAATACTAAAAAAAAAAAAAAAGACATGGTTTTTTATTGATATTTATTCATTTAACCATTAAAACAGAGTCTAGAAAAATTTAAATGGAAAAAACGGAATTTGGGAAAAAATAAAATGGGCCCTAAGTAAGGTTCGCTTTTGGGCTTTTGAACCAGCCTGACCAGTCAAATGACTGAGATCTAATGCTGAGGTCTGAGGATGTCCTCGTATGAGCACATTAGTATTAATGAGGCTTGTGTGAATAGCATATGTTTCTATGCTTCTACCTCCTCAGCGCATTGCTCGGTCATCTTTAAAATAAAATAATCCGATTTTCAGTACAAAAACAAGCTAATTGCACATTCACAGAGACAGAACAGACTTTATGAATATATCACATATTTGACCCGACTGACAAGATCAGAATGATAATAAATGTGCACAATACTTTTTATTGAATAATTAGTTCGATACAAAAAGGATACAACACATAATGTGATATACAGAACAAACAAACTAATGTGATGTGGACTGTTTCTGTATGTGTTTTTAGGTTGTCTGGCTGTATGGTGACAGAGGAGGGATGTTGTTATGTGTCTTCAGCTCTGACTTCAAACCCCTCACACTTGAGAGAGCTGGATCTAAGCTATAATCACCCGGGAGATTCAGGAGTCAAGCTGCTCTCTAAAAAACTGGCGGATCCAAACTGCTCACTGGACAAATTCAAGTATGTCGAGCAGGAAGAGGTTTTAGGTTTTATTATTTAAACTTTTCAGTGTCTCTGGGTATATCTATATGAGTCTAGGAGTTTTTAGAGGATGCAACAATATTTAAGATTTAAAGTGCACTAGTCTGAGAAGTAAAATCTTAACTAGACTGCTCAGACAAAACAAATTAACAACAAAGCAGTACTTTAACTCACCCCCTAACTGGTCACAAAACCGGAGCAAACAGTGAAAACACAATCAAAATAGCAGCCTCCTCCCTACAGCTTCCATAAAAGGTAGAAACAAACATATTCAAAATGATAACTTATGTTGCAAACATTAACAACTTGTAAATGAAGGAACAAAACAGCCCTAACTTTAAAGGGGACATCGGATGTCCATTTTCCACAAGTTGGTATGATTCTTTAGTACTACATACTACATGCATACTACATACATGAAAACATACTTTGGTTAAAATTCATCAATGGTTGTGTAAAACAACACCCTTTTTACCTTGTCAAAAAGAGCTCTGTTCACAGCGAGCCGTGTTTCTTCACCACACTCTTCCGTGTTTTTTTTTGTGTGTGTATTCGGTGGTGTTACCATCAAAAACTAAATAAATCCACTGCCTCCTCGGTGACTCTGATGTCAGGAGAAAATTAAGACTATGTTCACTTTTACATCCAACTACAAAACACCTGCATCGCTTCTGAAGCTTCTGTGTTGCTCGATCTGTGTGAGTGACTGAATGTGTGTGTGTGAGCTGCAGTGAAGACAGCACATTAGTTTAGAACATTTGTGCAATGATCACCTACCAGCAATGTAAAGATGATTTTATTAATATATTAGAATGAGGACATTACAATATAAATATATTAGAACGAGGACAGTATTATTTATGGGCTTGAAAACAAGATGCAAACAATCGTAATATTGTTCCTGTCAAGAGTGCCCAATGTTGAAACGTGAAACCTACACCATTACTGATATTATACAGTTCTGGAGGCTCTTCATAATGCAGAGATCAACTGTCTGCTCCGCCTACAGTCAGCAGTGGTCCTACAGTATGCAGTGTTTAATAAACAGCTGTTTTACTGAATTCTGCTGAGGTGAAATTCAGTGCAGTCCCGTATCGGGATATGTATCGTATAATGACTTTACTGGTGATACACAGCCCTACTAGCAACCACCCCATGTACTCTAGCAACTACACAACAACACCCTAGCAACCATGTTGTGTACCTTGGCAACCACATAGCAACCAACCAGAACATGTTATCAACTGCACAGCAACCACCCAAGTGCCCTGGCAACTACATAGCAACTCCCAAGCAATCACCCCGAGTACCCTAGCAACTGCATAGCAACACCATAGAAACCACCCTGAACACGTTATCAATCGCAAAGCAACCACATCACATACCTTAGCAACCACATAGCAACTCCCTAGCAACCACCCTGAGTACCTTGTATAGTAACTGCATAGCAACAGCAATTTGTTCACTGACTGAATGTGACTCTGTGTGTGTTTTCTAGTGTGGATCATGGAGGAGAATCCAGGATTACAGCAGGACTACAGAAATGTATGTCTAAACACACACATACACACACACTCTCTCTCTCTCGCTCTCTCTCTCTCTCTCTCTCTCTCTCTCACACACACAC